ATCAAGTAGTTAATTATTGAAAATTATTTTTAATTGACTATAATATTTTTAGCAGAAAATTGAAAAAATTTTCTCACCTCAAGAGTATTTAAGAAAATTACTGTTTCACTTACAAACGCTCCATCGTCGGATTATTTAACATTAAAAAAAAATTTAAGAAAATAAAAAGGAAGAAAAAAATGATTTTTTTGTGTAGGAAAAATTGATGCTTTTAACTTTTCCTCAAAAAAATTTTTTTGAAACTTTTAATTTCGAAAAAAATTGATACTTTCAACTTTTTCTCAAAAATTCACTTTTGAAAACTTGTTTCTAAGAAAAATTGATACTTTCAACTTTTCTTCAAAAACCCATTTTTGAAAACTTATTTTTAAGGAAAATTGATACTTTCAACTTTTCCCTAAAAATATATATTTTTAGAAAGCTCATTTTCAAGGAAAATTGATACTTTGATACTTTCAACTTTTCCTCAAGAATAATTTTTTAAATTTTATTTAAAGAAAATAATAAAATAAAAATAAAAAGTATTAAACAATTTTAATCTAATCAATAAATAATAATAATAATAATAATAATAATAATAAATAAAATATATAAAAAAATGAAAAATGAAAAAAAAAACCTAAAAACGGCTCGGCTTAGCGGCTCGGCTTGAGGAAGAAAAACAGCTTAGAGACTCGGCTCGAAGATGCGGGTCGAAAGCGGGTTGGCGCTCGGGTCGAGTCGGATCTTAGTAAAACGCATGGATCCTATAGGTTTACTAACGCCAAAACGACATCGTTTTCACTTAGTATAAAAGGCTAATTCCTCTGTTTTTTCAGCAAACCGAACATTCCCTCTCTCTCTTTTCCCTCCTTTTCTTCTGCCTTCTCTCTAAATCGTGAAGAATTTCGATTGAATTCTCGTTAAATTCTGAAAATTTTCGTCAAAATCTAAGTTTTTCGTCGGAAGTTCATCGAAAAACTGATCAGTTTTTGAAAATAGTCGCCGAAAAATTTAACCTTGGCCAAAAAATTCAATCGAAATCTGAACATTTTCTAGAAATTTTCAGAAAAAATTTGCAAAAAAATTCTTCAAAAATTTCACCGATTCTTAGAGCTGTTCTAACACACCAAGACTTTTTTCAGCTTCTGTTTCTTCTCTGTATACTCTCTCTCAGTCAGTATCTCTTTTTTTTGTGTTTCAATCCTTTTATCCGTGGATCTATTTATAAGGATTTATCAGAATAGTTTCTGATCAATCTTTATTCCCTTTTGGATTGAGATTCAATCTTTGAATCCAATTTAGATTCTGATTAAATCACACATTCATGGTAGAACTCAAATTTCTATTATAATCCAACTCCAATCAAGTAAAAAAAAGAAGAAAATAAAATAAAATAAATAATAAAATAAAAAAGATAATAATAAGGATAATATATTAAATAATAATAAAATATAAATAGATAAATAATAATAATAATAATATTAATAAATAGTAATAATAAATAAATAAATAATAAATACATAAAATACAAAATAAAGTAAAATAAAATATAAAATATAAAAATATAAGAAATACAAAAATACAAAATAAAGTGAGCCCACTCATTTGGATCAGACCTAATTGATCCGGACCTAAATCAAATTGAGTGTCTACATATATATATATATATATATATAAAAACAAAGAATGACAATAGTATGAATTGGATGCAATAATTTTGTTTATTTCTATTAGTTTTTTCATATAAAAGTACACTAGCATGAAATATCAGTATTATTGTAAGTAGAAAAACAATGGCCCTTTGCATCTTTGTTCCCCATACTGAACAGCTTATTATTTTCTTTTTATACGGTAATATATATACATACTTATATAGAGACACATATACGTAGTTCTAAGGCATACATGTATGTTAAGAGAAAATTTGTGCAATTTATATGTACTTTGGTTTATTCATTTTCCATTTTTTATTCTCCCAAGGTAAAAAGGATGTCGGAAATTTTGAAGCTTTAGATTTAGACTTTATTATGAGTGGATTCAGTTCAATTTTATATTAAATTTGTTATGTTATGTGTTAGGTAATTGATTGATTTGTTTGTTTAATTTAATTAAGTAATTTTTTAATATAAACATAATGCTTGATTATTATTATTATTATTATTTACAACTTCATAAAATAATAATAAAAAACTAATTAACTCATTGGTCAACAAAATACAAGTGGTGAACCATAATTAATATGCCTAATTATTGATCACAAATATCATTTGGTATTAGATTAAAACCGTGAAAAAAGACAACAATTATTTATATCCCACAACAACTAAAATTAAACGGAGACATGGAATTAATTTTGTACTAAGAAGAGCGACAACAAACAATGCTGGTGGAAATAAATGTTAAGAAAACATTGCCATAATCATTCTGGCCTGTTAGTTAGAAGATTGATGAAACAAGACCACATCTATTAAATATACAAGTGAATCTCAAATTTAATTATGTTATCTAACATGTGAAATTCTTGGTGAGTAATAACATGCGATATTTTCGTAGAATATTAAAATTTTAATTTTAATAATTAAAAATTAATTATTGACATTTTTAAAACAAAAGTTTTGGTTAACAGTATTAAAATAAAAACACATTCTTCTAATATTGAGGCGAAACAAATTACTTGCATTCATTTTTGTTTTTAATATAAGGCATATTTTCCATTTATTGTGTTAGAAAAATCCATGACTATACACGTGATCATTATTATTTTTGGGTTTTTTTTTTAAATTATTTTTGTGCTGGATTGAATTTGTTGATGATGATTTCAATTCTCACCTCAAACACTTTGAGATCATTATTGGAAGCATTTAAATCATTGATCCTATAATAGCATTGTGCACCAGACATATAATAATAACACAGGCACAGGGGGGGTCTCAAAACAAATGCCAAAGTCCAGAGCCAATATCAAAAGTCTCGAGCTGATCTGGGAGCCAAGTAATGTTGGACCTATATCGAGCAATGACACGTGGATCCATGCCATGTCATCAGGTGACATGGCGAGGAAGAGCGATGGGGGTGCACGAGTTGCAGGAACTGTTCCCTTTGGAGAGGAGGGGATTGTAGAGTGGGGGCAAAGGAAAGATAAGTCAGAGAAGGGAGGAGAGTCTTTAAGACATACCCACCTCATCTTCATGTGCATTCATTAATCGACGAGGGTGAAATAAAAGGCAAAGCAAAACCTGCCAAAGGAAAAAAGCGTGATTCTTGTGGCTTACGAGAGAAGAGTCACTTTCTTCTCTTTCCCTCCCCCCCCCCCCCCCCCCACCCCCTCTTTAAATATGCTTCCCATAAATTTAATACCTTAATTCCTAATTTCTCCCTCCCCAATTTATTCAATTACCATTGTCTCCCCGCTCTCTCAATTGCTCTCAGTGTCAGTCTCAATTGGAAGTTGCTTATTCCGACAATCACAGTTTGATCAGAGAATGATTCGTAGAAGGAGAAAAAAGTAAAAATAATAATATCTTTGGACAAAAAATGTACTAAGATGTCCCAATAAATGATTTGCTAGTACTAATTGGTCATTTCCATTCCATAATTGCGAAGTTATGGGCATAACTCTTTTTTAGAGTTATAATTTTTAAAGTTAATGGAAAAATGGAAAAATGAGAGTACTAGCTAATTGAATTATACATGTCATAGTTCATGGAATGGGATTGGTTACTGTTTCCTTGAATACGGTCTCTCCTTAAACAATGGATGAAAGTATCTTTTTAAGGAAATGTAATGAATCTCCATGCCGTGTGCAATTAAGTATTTAGCGTAAAAAATCAAAGGATAATAGCAGTAAACAATGGGAAAGATAAAAAGTAAAAACCTTTATGTTCCCAAAGTACAGCGTGGCTGGCCATATTTCTGAGCAATTAAAATCACCATCAAAGTAGTACTAGTGGTAGGAGTTCACAGTCAAAGAATTTGTGGTACCAAAATATATGTTTTTTTTTTTTTTGAAATTTAAAAGGTTTGAATTTCTATAATTTATATTTATCTTGACGAAATAATCTTTGAAAATTGATCAATAACATTTCAAATGAAAAATAAGAAAAATTGAACTATTGTCATTTGAGGGAATTCGAATAATAAGATAATTTGTTTGAAAATTTACTTTAAACATTCGGATGTCATGAGATTGAATGCCTTGCAAGAATTCATATTTTTTTTGTGAAAATTTAGTTGTGACATTTAAATACTATGGTTTTGGCATTTGATTGCCCTTGTTGAAAATTAAAAAATATTTACCATTAAATCAAAAATGTTTATTGTTGAATCTATGATATGTTTATTCATAAAAGGGAGTTTCTATCACCAATTGAAATTTATAAATATTTTTATTAACATTTGTTTCAACACACATTTACATCAAATATATAAAAAATCAATTCATTTTCCCCTGCTCTCATTTTTTAATTCATAGTTCAAAAAATTCTTAAAATATAGTCTTGAATTTCTCCAAGTTACATATTATATTTTGAAAATAATATTTTTAAAATTTTATTTACGCTTAAATTAAGATATTATTATTTTTAAAAAGTTTCCTAAAAATGCATTTCCTAAATTTTTTCTCTTCAAATTAAATTACGTTAATCGATCCTAGATACAACAAATCCCACCTCTCAAAACCCAAGAATACCCTAAAGGACGATAATGTTTCTTGTTTAATGACAATTACTAGGGTGGGAAATGCACTCAAAACAATTTAGAAAGGCTAGGACTCTTTGGTAATTCCAAAGTGATCAGAAACAAATAACTGGAAGATGGTTTCTTACACTATTAACTTTTGGGGCAATTTGCTGGGCGTCTCATCTTTTCCCCTCACCCCGGTAGTTGAACCCAAGGACCCGTGATGTTTCACCTGATTTATCCGGTCAGAGTCATTCACTTACCGGATAAACCAGTTTATTAAATTTATAAAAAAAAATTTCTCCTTTCCTTCTGTTTTTTTTTTCTAACTCTGTATAAATCATAATTGAGAAGGTTTGGGTATTAGTCTCATAAGCCACACGGCATATTGAAGAGAGAGAATCTCTAAAATGGTTTGGTGCCAGCTATGAAGTTGAAGGATCAAAGCTTTCTCTGAGGTCAAAGCTGGCATTTTTTTTCTTTTCTTTTATTCCACAACCTTCCCTTATTTACTACTCTTCATATCAATGCAGATTTTAAATCGACCATTTCCTCCATTTTCATCAGCCTCTCTCTCTCCCACTCAGTTTCCATTATCCCTCTCTTTCCTTTCTCTCATATTTCTCCTTATTTATTAGAGAATGAAAAAGAAAATGTGCATGCTTTGAGAGCAAGAAAAAAAGAAAAAGAGAGAGAGGTTAATGGTCGATTGATTTTGATTCTTCATCAACAAAGGTATTGCAAAAAAAAAAAAAAATCCCATGGCTGTTTCTCCATGTTTGAGTGGTAATGATCAGAAGCAACATTGGTGGCTTAGCAATAGAAAGGTACAAGCCTTGATCTTTGATCCAGTTTTCAAAAAAGTTTTCATTTTTTTCTATTGTTTCCATTGACTTTGATCTTATTCATTGTTTTTTCAGAAAATGGGTTTTTTATTTTTTGGAAAAAGAAAAGCTGATATACATTGCTCTGTGCAGCTTGTAGATAAGTACATTAAGGATGCAAGGTGTCTCATTGCAACGCAAGAACAAAACGAGATCGCTTCGGCTCTCAATCTTCTTGATGCAGCTTTGGCTCTCTCGCCTCGTTTTGAAATCGCTCTTGAACTGAAAGCGAGATCTTTACTGTATCTAAGGCGTTTCAGGGACGTTGCTGACATGCTTCAAGACTACATTCCCAGTCTAAAAATGTCAGGCGAGGACTCTGGTTCTGTTTCCTCAGATAACTCGTCTCAACAGTTTTCAAGGGAGCGAGTCAAGCTTCTCCCTTCTAATAACTCGTCCTCCAACTCACCGGATCGTGACCTATCTTTCAAGTGTTTCTCTGTCTCGGACTTGAAGAAGAAAGTCATAGCCGGCTTGTGTAGAAGCTGCGAGAAAGAAGGGCAATGGAGGTAAATTTCACTCTTTATTCCGATTATTAGTTTCCTTTTTTATTTTCTTAATTTGTTTTTGTTTTTTGGGTTCAACTTTTTATGTTTTGGTTTAATTATTTTTTGTCAGAGGAGAATACATATTCTACTCTATTAGTTTTCAGTAAATGCACAGCCAGCCTTAATGTAGTTTCCAACTATTGACCTCTAAACATAACGACAAAAATATTCTAAACTATCTGAATTTTTATTCGCAGTGAAGTGTAGACTGTAGCCTAGGGGTATTTTACTATTTTTCTTTTATATATGAAAAATTGTCCACAAATTTGTCCTTTTTTAGAAGTTTATTTGAAAAAATTATGTCTTTTTTTGGTAAAAAGTTGCTATCGCTGAACTAAAAAACCAGAGTAAAAGACGGTGCCATCCACACTGGCTTGCGGTGCGAATGATAAGTCATAGGCAGACAAGTTTTGAACCAATCGAAAAAGTTGAGAACCAAGTTTCCCAAAAATATCCAATAAAACAAACGAAGAAACAAATAATTTAGAGACCCCGAGTTTGCTTCAGTGAATAAATTTTGATTTTATTTTTCCATTAAATTTTGGGTAAGGGGAGGCTTTCAATATTCACTCGCACAAATAGATATCAAATGCAGCTAAGCATGTTTTTCTTAACTCGATTGAACTCAAAACTCTCTTGAAACTCAATTTTGATACAGGTACTTGGTCCTAGGTCAAGCATGTTGTCACCTAGGCCTAATGGAGGACGCTATCGTTCTCCTCCAAACTGGCAAACGCCTTGTTTCTGCAGCGTTCCGCCGTGAAAGCATTTGCTGGTCCGACGACAGCTTCTCCCTCCCCACCACTATCACCACATTCGACATCTCCTCTGCCGCCACAACGCCTCTCTCCACGCCTCCACGCAATCCCTCCTCTCTCTTTGAATCCGAAAATATTTCCCAGCTTCTATCCCATATCAAACTCCTCATCCGCCGTCGAACCGCTGCCATTGCAGCCTTAGATGCCGGCTTATACTCCGAAGCCATCCACCATTTCTCCAAAATCGTAGACGGTCGCCGTCCTGCCCCTCAGGGCTTCCTTGCAGAGTGTTATATGCACCGAGCCTCTGCTTACAAGGCCTCAGGTCGCATAGCTGAGTCAATCTCGGATTGTAACAAAACCCTTGCTCTTGATCCAACTTGCATCCAAGCGCTTGACACCAGGGCCTCACTTTTGGAAACCATACGTAGTTTACCTGACTGTTTACACGACCTTGAACACTTGAAACTGCTTTACAATTCTATCTTGCGAGATAGGAAGCTTCCAGGTCCTGCCTGGAAGCGTCACAATGTGAGGTACAGGGAGATTCCAGGAAAGCTCTGTGCATTAACGACTAAAATTCAACAATTGAAGCAAAGGGTTGCTTCTGGGGAGACTGGAAATGTTGATTACTATGCATTGATCGGTCTAAGCCGTGGTTGCTCAAGATCTGAATTAGAGAGGGCTCATCTGCTACTGTGTTTAAGACACAAACCGGATAAAGCTACCAACTTTATTGATAGATGCGAATTCGCTGGTGAACTAGATTTCGACTCGGTTAAAGACAGTGCAAAGATGTCGGCTTTGCTTCTTTACAGATTGCTTCAAAAAGGTTATTCCAGCGTGATGTCTATTATTATGGATGAAGAAGCGGCTGAGAAGCAAAGGAAGAAAGCTGCGGCTGCTTTGCAAGCAGCTCAGGCAGCAATTCAAGTGCAGCAAACCCATTACTCTAAATTGGAACCTGAAAATAGTCTGGCTTCTTCGACAAATTCATCAGATGTTTCAGGGTGCAATAACGGGGTTAATACCAGTGGAAACAAAGCCACAACAACTACGCCAAATACAAATGTGTTTCAAGGTGTATTTTGCAGGGATCTTGCAGCAGTTGGGAATTTGTTATCACAAGTAGGGTTTAATCGTCCAGTTACAGTAAAGTATGAGGCTCTGAGCTGCTGAGTTTTGCTTGGAAGTCTACGTTAGGTCACTATAAAAAAGTTTTTAAGATGTTTTACCGGCAGTAAAATCTCTGCTTCATTTTCCCTGTTTGTACAAAATGAAAAATTTTTAGTCTGCCGGAAATTTTTGTCTCCCTCTTTCTTCTTTTCTGTTATCTACTACCATGTACAGAATTTTTCGTTTTTGAATTTCTACTTTTGGGTTCATTTCCTTGGTCTAAGCCCTTTTTTTAACGTAGTTTCCAATTCAATTGATATTAATGGTTAGATTGGCACCAATTACGACTGTCATGGCCAGGAAGAAAAAAATAGAGAGAAGCTACTGGGGTTTGGATTCTCTTCTGTGTCTTATCTATTGGCATTTAATTTTTCTCTGCTTTGTTTATCCAAGGACTGACATGTCTGACATTCCACTAGATTTCTTTTATTTGCTAGTTCCACGTAATGCTTTACTTCATCCACTTGGTGAAATTCTCGGTATAGAGGGAAGGGATCTGAATGCTTTTGGAGCACCCCTTCTTTTGTTTGAGTTGTGGGCTTCGTGGCTTTGAGTGCATCATCGTCTTTTAACCGTGGCGTAGGTTGAACTGGTTAAAAAGAAAAAAAGGACAATGTCAAGTCACCCGTAGAGGGATAAGGGTGTCAGCAATTTTCAGGTCTCTGCCTAATACAACAAAGAAAAGGGGGTCTAATCAACACTCAATACAAGAAAACAAAGGGATTTAGAAAGGTTGTGTCAATTCAAGCTACATAATTGCCATCATTTGCCTTCTGGGCATAGCTTTCCATGCAACACTATTCTCTATTGCAATCCACAATGTACATAATTGCGTATGATGGGGTTGGTAGGAATAAAGCTGTTGGGTAATAGTATAACCATTTTTCAACGGAAAACTAGCTGGTCCAAGCAAATCCTTGTTGACAGTAATCATGATTGTTTTACTACTGTAAAAAATTAATACTATTAAGAGAACATGTTATTATATCTTCATGTAAAAAGGGTTGGATTGGAACTCGTGATAGCTTGTCTTAGAAGGCTAGCGCCATCACCTAACCATAATCTCCTTAAAGAATTAATACTAAAATGACAAAGAAGTCAATGACTAAAATCAATTGGCATAATAAAACCCGTGATTCCAACTCATTTGCATTAGACTTAAAACCCATAAACTTTTTATTAATTCATATTAATAGACAACAAAGAATTTATAAATAAACATAACATCCATATCTTTTGCCCAAGAACTTTTACAAGGGTTTATGATTCAGGTTTTTCTTTTTTCTAAAAAATAAATAAATAATGGTTTAGACGTAGAGCGAGGCCTCTGTTAGAGCAGAAAGCCTGCAGGCTGCGATCTGTGGCCCTTGAAAAGGTGGCATCATTTTACTATTGACTCCTTTTCTGTCACTTTGCAAGAAGGGATTGCCTTAAGCAGGCCGGACGATTGTTGTCAAAAATTTATTTGGTAGCCCTTTTCTAGGAAAATTTTTATAAATGTGTTGAACAAGTAAATTACGTGTTTTCCCCATTGTTAGACTTTGTTGGCTTTGTTGACTTCTCTAGCTTGCCATTTTGTTTTTTTGCTTGATTTTAGGTTTCAATAGTTTTCACTAGGTCACAGATACATCCAATTCCTCGTGCTGCCTTTCATTTATTACTTTTTTTGGCATCGTTTTACTGCCTCGTGCAATCATTCTAAATTGAGAATGAAATAATATTTTTTCCTCATTTTTTTTTTTAATTCATGGGAATCAAACAAAGAATCATCTCATATAAAAATAGGAAATATTTACTGAGGAAGTTTATTCACTTAAAAACCCCACATCATTTCATTTCTCACCAGTAGTCAATTACCATCATTTCTTTTGATTGGCAGATTATTCCCATCATGTCAAAAAAAAATTGATTCTCAAAAAAGCATTTCCACGGATGGGAAATCAATTTATTTCCATGATCAAATAAGATATGTGCATTTAATTAATGCAAGTTTGGATTTTTGATGGAATTAGTTAAATCATCATTTCAACTTTATAAAAGGGTCACTCATCTTCTTTTTTTTTTTTTTTTTTTTAGGTAATATAAAAGCTTTCTATTCCTTTCCTTGCAAGTGATTTGTGCTCTTTTTATCCTTAAAAATCGGCTCTGCCCTTCAAAGCTACTCAAAGATTTTGCTTTGCTTTATATCTTCTAGGTTCCTTTTTATTATAATTTTCGGATGAAAAAGATTGAATGAGATTTGAGATACTATAAGAACAACCATTTTTGCATGGAAAGCCAATAATAATTTAGATAATGGATTTCTAACTATGCATTGTCCAAAAGTGAAATGAAAAAAAAAAAATTGAACCAATAATTGATTTGATTTTAATCTTGATTTTTGCAAACAAAAGTAAATTGTAATTATAACTTTATCTCGAAAGAAAATTTTTAGAAAAGAGGATGCCATTTACCGAACCACCGTGTTCTCATTATGACAATCCACTTTCATGCCACTGGCTACTGTTTAGTGCATGAACCACAGCTCATTTTTACTCCCAACATTTTCCTTCTTTTCCCCTATAAAATATCCCTATTCAAACTCTACTAAAGCCACTTTCAATTTTGAAAGCCACAAGACGTAGACATAGCTGGACCTCTAGCATAGTTAGCTTCGCGTGATCACGCATGGATCACCTACTCATTATACAGACAAATACCCCAACAAATAAAAACTAGAGTAATAATAATAAAATCACAAAAAAAAAAAAAAAACCAATAGAATTCTAAAGCTGATTGAGGGCAAGAAATTGAAAAAAAAAAAAAAAGCCTTCCACATCTTGATCTATCTTGTCTTTAAATTCTGAACGAAAGCCGGTTGTTCCAAATTGCTGCTCTGAGTAAACCATAAACAATTTCAATGCTGATGATTTTAAAACTATTTAGTAAACGTAATCATGGTTTTTTTTTTTTTTTTTTTTGATATGTTGAGTTCACCCTTTTAAAGCAATTTTTATTTGCTTGTGGCGAAAGAAAAGGGAAGTTTTGCATCAATTCTTTCAAGGCTAATACTAATAGAATATGGTATATACTTTTATGGAGCATCTGTCGATACGCTGCTTTACAACTATGCCATTATTCTAGCATTTGAAAGTACAATTATATCCTCACATTTAGAGGTCTATAAGCATAAATTGGATGGTAAAATTAGGATGGAGAAGGAAGAAAGGGGATTAGGGAAAATAGAACACGTGATGTTTGAATGTTGGGAACATTGGAAAGAGAAGTCGTGGCCGGATATGCTGATGTCAGTGACAGCATGTGATGGAATCACGTGCTTAATTCTTTTTTTGTCTTAAGAATGAATAATCTTGGGCTGTAGTATTTGTCCAAGATGGATGGCCTAATCATCCTTAGAAAATACTCTAATCTCACACTTTCCCATTTCGAATTTTCCTATGTTTATTCTTTGCCTTGTGTAAAAACCATAAAGAAAAAGTTCAAAAGAATGTGGTGTTGATTTTTATTTTTGGGTTTGAGTAGTTGGGATTTTACTTTTGGCAAAGCTAATAATTATAGGAATTATATATATATATTTTTTTTTATTGAGATCTGAGTGTATCTGTCCGTCTAAGCTTTTGACATTTCATACATTTTACCAATCTTGAGTCTTTGACAACGTGAATTCTTCTTCAAAATCAAATGAAAAAAGATTCAGCAACTATCAGCTTTCTTGCTTAGTCAATTTGATAGTGAGAGCTGAGCAAAAGTTTTGTTTGAGATTAAAAAAATTGAAAATGGTTTATACATAAAGAAGAATGAGTTTTTACAAGCCCTGCCCAAAAACTCAAAAGAAACATTTATTACTTTTTTAAATATATCTTTTAATGTTTGGTTAATGCAAACCATTAATGCCAAAAAGAGAAGGGAATTAATTTGATTATGTTGGAAGATTTAATCCGCAATCCAATGCCTTTTTAATGCCCTGCAATTTCAGACTGCTTGCCACCCTTTCCTTCTTTCTTTGGTTGTGTATGGTGAAGAAGAAAATTTTCAAAAAAACCAAACTCTCTCCGGCCAATCCTGTATGGATTGTATTTTGCCTGCCCTAGGCTTTTAAAACATAAGAGTCTAAAAACAACCATCAACTAGTAAATCTTAGTAACATCCTTTTGAGTTTTGACCTACTGTAATTAAGTTTCCCAAATTCATTAAAATTTGAAGGGATAATTGCAACTACCTAATAGCAACAGCTGACCTTCATCACTGGTCTGCTATACTCTAGCTCCTTTAATTCTCTCTGGACATGTGTATGGGTTCATTGATCAATGGATGTTTTGTGAATTGTGACATAAATCTTGGGCATGGGCTGAAGGTCTTTCTTCTATCAGTTCTGTCCATTAGGGCCTTGATGCCCAATTTGGAAAACAAACATAAACAGTTTTTCCTCTGAATTATGGGCAGCAATAAGGAAGTGATCCAAGTAATCCTTGATCGAAAAAGAATCAATTTCAGAAAAATAGATGTCCACATCGATCAAAATGCCTCTAATGATCTTATTGCAAGAATTGGAATTATATCCTGAAAAATATATTAATATCTATAACATATAAGAACAAATGTAGTACAAAAAAAAAACTAAAATAATACTCATGGTGATTAATTATATTTTTAAAATGTCATGTTTTAAATTATTTTTAATTATCTATAATCAATTAACAATTCTACTTTATGCTAACTTTAATTATGTTTTAATCAAGTTCATTTATTAATATTAATAAAAAAATAAAAACAAATTAATTTAAAATATCAATATAATTAAAATATAAAATCACGTGCAACACGTGACAGAATTAATTAGTTCCTACGACATGAGATAAGCACAACATACAACTTTAATTAGCCAACTAAATATTTTAACTAAAGGAAGTTGTTATTTCAGGATGGCTAAAATATTCAGACAAATTCTACAAGCTAAGCCACAAGGCCCAAAACTAATGTACAAAAATTAAGACAGAAGGCGACCGTTCCAAAAGCTAGAAAAATAATGCAAATCACTTATCCTTCGATTGAGAGGTTCCTTTCTTTCTTTTCTTTGAAGGAGTTGTGCTGTTTCTGCTTCTTTGACTACACTTCGGACAAAACCAGTCCTCCTCAGGTACATCCTCAAGCGGAGGATCACAACAATCGATGTGAATGCCAACTCCACAACCCACAGAACCACTTTCATCACCGCAGATTAGCATGGCATCTCCTCTCTCACGAGAACCACAAACTTGACATGCTACATCATTACTCCCACAATCATCTGGTGGCTGTGGGGTGGTCACGTCCTCCACAATCTCTTCAGCTCGGCTCCTCAAGTTGCTAAATGATTTCTCTGCCCATTCATGACTGTTGTATAGCACATGTCTGTCTAGGGAGTAACCAGCTTTGCAGACGTACTCTACTAGGTAATCAGCAACAATGCAGGGTATCTCATGTTTCAAGAAGTCTTGAACCCACGAATCAACACGTGGCATGCCAGGACTAACAACTGCAAAATCAACTCCAGATTTGAGGAATCTGGTGTAAGGGGGAGAAGTTGCCAAAATGGTACCATCCCCAGCCTTCACAACACGCTTCAAAGTGTCCTGGTTGAAGATTGGTAAAAAGCAAACAGTCATTAACACAGTATATAAAACTAACCTTAACCATCTGTTTTAGTTTATGGGAAACAAGAAGAGCCGGCAGGTGACATTCTTTCATGGAAAATATTGCTGGTATGGTACAAGATATTACAGAAGTAGAAAACACCGTAACCAAATGAATACTGAAAACATACCAATGGAGGAGCAATGCATTCTCCATACACGATAATGCGCATCCCATAAAATGCGCCATGGCCTGTTCTCTCCCTCAAGTGACGCCACTTCCTTGAAGCCTCCAAGTTTATTGCACCATCTTCACTGAGGCCACTATTGTGCCATTCATAAGGCTCCTCTGCCAAGAATTTTCCTGCCTGATTACAAGCACTTAAATAATCGGGCTTAAGAATCCACCTGCATTGAGAGGAAAGTCAAATTCAACAACCATTTGAAATTAAGAATGATATGGTGATGATAGACGTGAAAAATATGATCCCAAAAGTTAATTAATATAAACAGCAAAAGCTCTCATAGAATCTTCTTAATTGGAGAGTGAAACATAGAGAAACTTTTAGCAGAAGTTTAATAAGAGCTAAAGAGAAAACTATGAAAAGTTTTTGACAGTTAGAAATATGGCACCTTCCAGATGCAGCAGCAGCAAAAAATTTCTCGGTCCTACGAATTGGATCTGGGGCAATGAAATGTGTTGCCTGGTATGACCATTGATGAGAATCCCTGCAAAATTTTCCCTTCAAACGCCTAATGACTTGCTGGAATTCTTTTCTCTGCAATCTGTGGCCACTCAATATAAACCACACAGGCTCAGTTTTCAATCTGTTGAAAACCTTTTGTACCAGCTGTGTTTTAGAATCGACCTTCTGGGATTTTTCATTAGTCTTCACTGCTTTTTTATTGGGTTTAACTGATTTTCCAGGAATCTCCTCGGGACCAACTGGGCTGCTCTTGCCTGCACCCCTGGCGTTTTCCACTTTTAAAGATGCATTACTGCTGCTTGTTTTGGTGGCAGGATGTGGAATGAAATTCTCCTTTTCATCATCTTTCTCCTCAATATTCTTCCCGACGCTAGTATCATCCCCAACCAAATCATCTTTGGATTGAGAAGGAACAACCTTCATCTTGGCTTTACCTGAAAGTTGTTTCTTCCTTTTACTTGTTTTCTTTTTCAAGCCAAAACATTTTAAAGTTGATTCACCCAATTCAGAGTTCTTGCAACTAACTGCCCTCTCAGGATCGTTTCCATTTGTTCCATTCTTTGATGTAATTACACTCCCAACAGCCACCTTGGAATCACATCTGACATGTTCAGTTTCTAGCAATGTGTCTGCCTTACATGTCGATTCAACCAACTCAGACTTCTCTTTTCCAGGTGTCTTCTTAGCATCATTCTCATCTTCCTCATCTGGAGCTTGAGTTTCATCATCCCTGAATTGAGTCTTAGCAGTAGCAGCATTCAGAGATTTTGAGACAACTTTTTCGACCACATCATCCAGGTTAATAGTTGGAGGTGGTGTTTCAAGTTCACTGGCACTCTTATGAGTTGCTCTTTCATTAGCCCCATCCAAGCAAATTGTTAAATCATTTTCGGAAGCAATTTTGCTTGAGTAAATAGAACCTTTTCTGTTAGCAACATTGCTTAGTTTTGATCTAGAACCCAAGGTCTTCTTCGCAAGCATCTTCTTGCTATGCAGTTTTGTCACCAACTTATCACTACCTCTTTCAAGCAAATCCAAGGTAGCAGGGCTATGGGAATTTTCCATCCCTAGCTTTCTATCATCAATTGAAGGAACCTCAACATCTTCGAACTTATTCTGCAGCTTGCCTGGCTCTCCAATTACTTGTACACATCTTTCTAGGCCAGAATCTCCAAGATTTGACCTGCTTGCTATGGTGGATTCTCTTAATCCATTGAAGGACATTTCAGGTGACTTCTCATGTTGCAGATCTGGCTTGCCTGCCAAGGTGAACTCTCCATACCCCTTAAAGGACATTTTGGGTGATTTCTCATCACTATTTTTCATTCTGTCCTCTGCAGTAACAGTTTTAAAGGAAGAAGAATCATTTGACAACTTGGTAGTTGCATTGCTAGCACATGAATTATGTAAAACATTCAGATAACTAGTCCCATCCACTGAGCAGTCATTAATCTGTAGTTGATCACCCGCCAAAGATGTTGGCTCCAGTCGTTCAGTGTCAAGTGCACTGCCCTCTACGGCAGCTTTTCCATTATGAGTGGTTTTTTGTGTTTTAGAGCTACAGGCAGAAAGTTCCAATGCTCTTTTCTGAGGCAATATACCAGCTGAGTCCTCTTCATGACATAAATCAGCTCCTTTCCGTGGAGATTTAACAAAACAAGAATTGATTCTTTCCTCTGTTTGCTGCATTTTAGAGGAAGGAATGCCAAATGCATCCTTGATTCTCATAGCTTGAGGAGAGCCACTAAAGTTGCCTGATATCTCTCCTGATAAATTTGGGGGTGTAGACTTTCCTGGTGATTTCCTTGGTGTTTTCCTTGAGTAGCTTATAGCAGTAAACTTCTCATTGGATAAAGAGGGGCTCTTAGAGTTAGATGCCAAGTTAATATCTACATTTGTAGAATTTGGGCTTCTGTTGTGTTGTTCAGCTAACTTAATAGATGAAGCATTCCCGAGACCAGAGTCCTGAAAAGCATGTAGCTTAGGGTCATTAACATCGGTGGAGCTTGTGCCTTGATGAGATTTGCCAGGCGTCAATAAAACCTCCTTGGTATTTGGTGAATATCTGGGCATAGTTGACATCGACACTTCAACTGCTGAATTGGGCAACTCACTGGAACTGAGCATTCCAGCCTTCAAGTTATGAGAGCTCCTCTTCAAACTTTTTTGTCCGGATTCTTTCCATGTAGTTTCTTCAGCCTCTTCTTCAGAATCTTTAGCTTCAGCTTCCATCACCTCTAACTCATAACCACTGTTTATAGAAAGAGATTAGCTCACGATTTGATACAGTTAATACTTTTCTTTTTCACTTTTTCTTCCTTGCAAAAGAGTCAAGTAAATATAAATAAGAATCAAGATGCCAGAGCATGTGCAAAGCGCACAGTAGGTATGTTATACAGAAACACAAATAAAATTCTCAGAAAGACCCGTACCTCTTGCTATAATTAGCTTCTGAAAGAAGTTCCCATTCTCTTAAACTGCATAAAAAGAATATGAGATCAAACAACAGAAAAATAAAGGTTTTTATACAAATTCTAATTTTCTGGTATGTTCAGGAAGATTTTAATTATCTTGTACTTTATGCCTTAAGTTTTCTACAAACGTACCAATCTTCCAACCAACGGTGATTGATAAGCTTTATCTTCCTGATTTTCTTAGCAAGCTCATACTTCTCCCCTGCATAAGACAAGATTTGTTAAAATGTTACTACTCAAGCTCATTATGCACAGAAGCAAAAGATTAAAAACTGAATCTCATATGAAAAACTTAATAGTGACAAAAAACAAACATCAAGCACCTTAATATTTTAACCACCAGCAATGACCATTGGAACTGGCTAAATGATGTGCATAGAATTATACACAAATAAATCAAATTTATACAAGCATGAAACAATAGATGAATTAACAAGTATAATGTTTGTCAAGGGAAAAGGGAAAGGAAGAATATTAAGAGTTGACCAAAAAAAAATTATCAGCATAACATTAATCAGGGAAAATTTGACAAGACAAATAAGATCAGCACAGAGTTGTGAGCATTTTGCAGTTTATTTTAGCTGCCTTTTAATAAAGAAAACATAGAAAACTGCACCTTCAAATTTATAGCATATCAGATGGGTGACTTTGTTTGCAACCAAAGGTTTAGAAAATTGAGCACCCATCAAGCTAACCATTGTCTGCAAGCAAATAAGTGAAATTACAAAACATTTTAGTTATCATTCCAACAAACAAAAACAAAAAAAAAATGTGCTTTACAATCAATAAAAAAAAAGCAGCACTATAAGGGTAAAGAGAGATCAATACCATAATGTCATCTCGATCTTGCCTCTGGTATCCAGTCAAGCATACAATTAAACTTTTAGCACCAGGAATTCCATTCAAATCTCTAAGAGGTTTGTACATAATCTGTCCAAATACAATGACAATTTCACAATTTTACACAGACAAAAAGAGTGAAGTTCCTTTATTAAAGAAAGTTAATATTATGACAACCTTTTTGGACCTAAAAACAATGAAATATCTCAAGTCCTATAAATTGTATATACTTTGCAGGAGAAATTATTTATAGAGTGATCAAACTGTTGCCTTTTATTCATCATTCATTGCTAGTTGCTACACCAACTGAATTCATGAATCAAAAATTCCGAATAATAGACAGGATATAAATTTTGAAAATCTCTTATATACCTTAAACAATGAGACGGTTAGCTTTAAAAATCGTAGAATAAAATAAACTCACCGAAGTAGGATCGACAGGCATTCCAATATCAAAACTATGATCGACCCATAATCCAGTGACAACAGTTTTGCCATCATTTCGAGCAGCAACACAAACAGGATCATCCTACATAAGATTTAAAAGCAGAATTTTCAACATTTTGTTTTTGAATGTTAAAATGTTAAAAAAAAAAAAAAAAGAGCAAGCACATTTGATTTAATTGTGCTAAATTAAAAGAAAGACTTACGTAAACAATCTTATCAACGATCATATGAGTGCAATTCTGGCCATACTGACCCACACCTACGCCGCCACCGTCAATGAGCTTTATTCGAACCTTCTCAATTTTTAACCAAGAAATAAACAAATATCAAATATCATCACCAAAATTTAATAATTTTTTTGCGCAAATAAGCACTTCATTAATCAATGAGTAAAAAGCAGAAAGCTTTCAGGACAAAAACATGTTAATAGAGAATACGGGAGGTAGCGGAAAGACCTTATGCTCGTTGACGGGATCGAAGCCGTAAAGACAAAAACGAACGCCAAGAAAAGTTTTCGAGGGAGTATCGGATTCCAGCATTGGATCGAAACTTAGCCTTTAAAGAGAATTATAGAAGTAGGGTAACTGGAAGAAGAGAGAGATTTGATTTGATGAAAAAAAGAAAATAGGAAATCTATTCCAAACGAGTTGGAAATGAAATGATGAGAAAGAGTGTGAGCGATGAAAAGGAGTGTTCGGTTTTACGAAACTTGTCGAGGAAGAGTGGAAATAGTGAATTGAAACTGGAAAATATATTTTAGGGAGGGAAAATTTTTTCTCGTTCTCATTAAATTCAACTTTTTGGTGCAGGGGCGGGAGAAGGAAACTTCATGATTGAACACGGTGCTTCCACGTGGCGATCAAGGGACATCCTCTCGACACGTGTGGTTCTTGGGCTTTGTACCGGGCTACTATCACCGATTTAGAGGGCAGCGGATTACTGTTTCCGGGCCCCATGGGAAGAAAACTAGTGGGCTGAAGCTGGTTGGGTCTTCTTTATTTTAATTATTTCTTTTTTGGGTCGATTATTTATTCTTTTCATTTCTCAATTTTTGAGCATTTTTACACTAAAATATTATATCATCGAAGTTTTCAAAAATCCCTAATCTTAAAAGGAACATGAAGTTGATAAATGATATTATTAGATTTGTTTTTGATTTCGATGATCTAAATTTGATAAACATCAAGATTTTTCTTAAAGAAATTTGCTAATAAGCATCCTAGGTGCACTTAGGACACCTTTTAATATTATTATTTTTCACATTTAATACTATTATTTATAATAAAGAAAAATATCTTCTCTATTATTTTAAAAGTAACAACGGTATTTATTATTTTATTTAAATAATAATAAGCTTTTAATTAAAATTTAGAGTTAATATTTGATATTTTATTTAACTTATTTTTGTTTATTTTATATTTAATTTAAAATCATTAAAATTTAATCATAAATATGATTGAAAATACATTATTTATCATTAGATAAAAATAATGAAATTGTTTATTACTTTTTCCCTAATAATATCTTCATCTAATACCTTCGAAATTGTGAATGAAATTATCAATTATTACATTTAATACAAATTAATTATCATTATAAATAGTATAATAAATTATTAACTAATCCTAAAATATATCCTAAAAATATTGTTAGCAAAATCATTACTAAAAAGTAATCAACTAAGTGAAATTATCACTTCGGTTTATAACACATTGCAACTCTACTTTTTCCTCTTCGAAGTACAAATTACATACCATAAAATGTTTATTATTATGGATGCTTATCGGTTTGAATAATAAAAAATTTAATTTTTCTTAAATAAAATCTCAATTTTAAATATTATAAATAAAAAAAATTAAATTTAAAATAATTTATCTTCTTATAAAATTTAATTTGATTTAATTTTAAATTAATTAACCCAAAATGACTATAAGATACGAAATCCGGTACCCAAAAAAAATGTTTATTACTATTTTTTTTTGGAAACAAAGTGCTTCATTATTTTTAGTATTATTTTTATTTTAATTTTTTGGCCAATAGAATTGTTTTTATTTATTTAGATCACCCACCAACCTACTAATTATGCTAATAGTATTAAGGGAGGCAAGAATACGAAACTAACCTCCCAGAAGCAATGCTAGATTTCGTTTTATTTATTCACTGCATAAAAACGACAATGGCAATTTGGTAACATCAGCAAAGTAAAAAACCTCTATAATCCATGAAAATTCCACCAACCTCCAGCCATCACTCAAACCAAAAAAAAAAAAAAAGAAAGTCGAAACTACCCAATTTTGTTGACCACACTTTCCAGTAAAATCGGGGAGATGGCTTGGATAACAAGATTCTTAACGGCGGTGGCTTTCTTGGCCGTCGGAGTAATATTCTCACCGGAGACCTTCGGATCAAAATCAGAGGGTCCAAGTTCGCCCATTCTCTCCTCTTCCATTAAGCTAGCTCATCTACTCAGCTTCTCGACCGCCTGGGGCGCCGCCCTTTGGGTCACCTTCATCGGCGGTATCATCATGTTCAAGTACGCTCTTCTTATTCTGACCTTAATTAATCCCAAATTAAAATTCTCAAGTTTAATTAATTTTTATTTTTATTTTTACTTAGGCATCTGCCAAGACATCAATTTGGTAATCTACAAAGCAAGATGTTCCCGGCTTATTTCTCGATGGTCGGTGTTTGTTGTGCCATATCGGTGGCGGCGTTTGGTTATTTGCATCCGTGGAAGTCGGCGACGACGGCGGAGAAATACCAGCTAGGGTTTTTAGTCTCTGCTTTTGCTTTCAATCTCACCAATTTGTTCGTTTTTACTCCTATGACCATTGAGGTAATTTGGTTTATCAAGTTTATCTATTTCTCGTTCATCTTAAAATAATTGAATTCTGCGTTATCATGCTAATTGATAAAAAATTGTGAAATTGATTGACTTCTAGTGTTCAGCTGGTTGGGAAAAGAAAGGGGAAATTTTTTATTTTCTATTCTAAGATGTTTTAGTTCGAAGAAGTTTTGTCTTTTATGAGAATATAGAGTATGCGACTGCTTTTGAGATATAAGATTCACTCGAGTGGATTCTTTTGTTAAATGTATAAGAGTTGACGGCGTTAAAAATTTTCTGTTTTTTTTTTCTACATTTTCCTAGTAACCATGAAACAAATAATTTGGTTCGTATTAAGTTGATTAAATGCTGCACTTCTGAGTAAGTTTTGAGTTTATATCTTGGTTTGTTTGTTGACTTGCTGAATTGCATTTGCATATGCAATACTGTTATGCTATGAATATGATAATGCAGATGATGAAGCAAAGGCACAAGGTGGAGAGAGACGAGAATATTGGTGATGAAATTGGATGGACAAAGAATCAGGAAGCTGCAAAGACTAATCCAAAGCTTGCTGCCATGAACAAGAAATTTGGAATGATTCATGGGTTATCTTCCCTTGCTAATATTATGTCTTTTGGCGGCCTTGCTATGCATTCATGGTACTTGGCCGGTAAGCTCAATCTGTAGTTTGGAGTTCAGTTCTTCATGGAAAGTCTGAGTTTGCCTTCTGGCTATAGATTAAAGTTATCATTTGTACTTTGTGTTTTCTCTTGGATAAACTGTTCCTGCCAGAATTATGTAAACTTGAACCACATGTCAAGAAAATGGATCCTGTTCTTGTTAGTTGGTGAAAAAATAAATTGACAAAGTCACATGGCTTTTCCTATCAAGTGGGTGAAGTTTGAATGGTTTTTAAAGTATTATATTTCATTAAATCATGTTTGCAGTTTTTATAGCAGCTGAAACCGGTAATATAATCTTCATTGTATCTCGTTGATGAGTAGCATCAGTTGTTTGGCTTGCTTACACGCCGGAAAATGATTTGGTGGTATGGACCTACTAAGTAGCACAGTTACTTCGTAGAGGAAAATCTGTCAACTTCTTTAGAACAATGGAAATTAGGTTTGATGCACTGATTTAGTTTTTCTTGGACCATCCAAAACTTCCCCTGCTCCTTCTGCGTAATGTGTTATAACACAGGATAACAACTTTGCATTCATTTATTCTGTTTATTTTCATCATGCTCTGGTACTTGGTAGGATGATGTTACAGGTTTGTGGCAATCTGGCAAAGTCCTGCCTGATTGTGACCTTGAAAGTCTGTAAAGGAATCTCTGATCTATCAACTGTCATTCGGTAACATTTTTATTCTTTTAGTATTTGATGGTTTTGATTTTAACAATAAGCTAGATCATGAACTTAGATTGATAAATCGTAAATGTTACACGGATCAGAAAATCTTACTATTTATGCATAGGTTAATGGGTACCTTTGTCTCCATATATTCTTCTCAACCGACTGCTATGCAATCAACTCTGTTCTGTCAGATCTACTTGCTTCAATAGAAAAATCACCTCCACGTTATCAGATCTACTTTGCTTTAAAAAATGAGTGCCCTAACTGAGTTAAAGAAAAGGTTTTGGTGCTGGATACTGTCCTTGCAGATAGGTTATATAATTTATTCATCCATGTCTGCAGAGGTTGATTTCGGGGCTTGGGCCAAGGAACGTCGGAACAAAAGAAATTGCACAACCTCATGAGTCTCACTCTATCCTATCATATTCTTTGCTTGGGAGGAAATCCGACCCAAGTACTATTGGGTCAGTGTACCTGCTAAGCGCAAGATCTTGGCGTGGGTCTGCCCAAAATAAACAAAAACGTGTTAGAGAGTTCCTCGTACTAGATCGGTATATATATATATATCAAGAGAGTGTAAAAAATTTGTCTTTTATATTTTTTAATCTTTCATTTTAATAAATTTAAATGATGAAAGAGACAAATAAAAATAAATAAATGATTTAATTTCATTTTTTGAATATATTAAAATCAATTATTCAAAAATTTTGTAAAATTAAAATATTTTACATTATATAAATTAATTCCTTATATATATATATATATATATATGTATAAATTTAAATGCTATATATTTGCACTGCCACACAAAGCAAGAATTCAGAAATAACGTATTTTTAAAAATGATTACCTATCAGTTGATACCGATAAGATACACAAAACATTACTTTAAACGACATTATAAAAAAAAAAAAATTTAACAATATTGGATTTCCAAAGGATAACTTACGGACATCATTTCCAAAAGCGTTGTTTACAATGAAGTTAAATTTCAACCGAATTGAAGAACTTTAATTTGAATCTAAAATTTTAAATCGATGTTCTTTCTGGACAAAAATCACTCAAGTGGTTTAGTCCTTGCAGTGAAAACCAATTACTTGAAATTTTATAGAAACACTTTCTTTCTCGTGTACGCTATTTCAACCGTAGTACTTGTTAATGGTGGTCCTTAACCTCTCACCGTGTCTCTCATAATGATTAATCTAATGTTCATTTGTTCGTTTCTATTTGTTTCCCTTTTACATCCTTTTCTGCATCGAGTTATACTCATTTATAGTCCTTCCTTACCAATTTTTAGTCACATTCATGATTTTGGCATGTCAGGCAAAATGGTCCAAGGTCCCACTTTCGAGCTTCCTTTCATCATTTGATTCAGATCCACAAGAGAGGAAAAAATGGAAAAATCAAGAATTTGGTTCTAGCAAATTCGTTAGCCCCGAAACAAAGCAACCACGAGATAACGATGGAAATCCACACGTAAACGCTGCTGCATCGCGCGGTATGATGGAGGTTGGAGATTTGGGTGAGCCCGGTTGTCCTGATTCATCCACAAACAGGCTGACTTTTTGCCCTGTTGGATGGATAGGCTTCAGGGTCACAGCCATTTTAGACTTGGGGCTGTGGGGACTCCTATTTTGTCTTTTAGATGAACCTTTTTACGTGCAGCGCCAAGCAAAAGAAAACTTTTGTTCGTGGCTTGTTGATTTCTTGAGAATCCCTGCATGTGAATCACGCATGTGCTTAATGCGGATCATTACTTATACATCAATTGGGAGCAAAATTGCCATAGCTGCAAGAAAAGAAAAGAACCAGGGTTGGAATTGCTGATTCTAGCTATAACAAAAAACAGCTTGGTCCACGTCTAAGATAATATGCATGTCCCGTCCACTTTTGTAAAGTTCGATGACGTCCCATGAAAACAACGAACTCCCTTGATTTGAGTGATTAGGGCAAATTGCGTGCCCTCTAAGAGTGATGTTTTAATTGTTTGTGACACATTTTGTGCATGATTCAATAATTGATGTTCTAACGGAGATATTTGCCGGTGTTTAAGTAAATCTGATCCACTCAATTCCCAGAAAGTTTAACATCCTTCTCAATAACTATAGAGCCGGAGCAAGATCTTTTTTCAAGTTTCAATGATACTACACATTGATATCTCCAGGCACAGATAGCCCAAAAGTCAACCCTTTGACTATCATTTTCGTGAACCAGTCCCAGGAAAATCTCGGTAGGTTTGGGCAACTATTATTATTCAGTGATCCGATGAGACAAAACAGAACATAGATTCCATATTTCCACTTGCGTACTCGTAATTCAAAGTATGATCAATATTTTTCTTTCTTTCCATTTGCTATCATTCATAATCAAATGTTCTATTTTTGTATAGATCAATTGGACACTTTCATCTGATTAAAAAAAATGATAAGAAAGAAATAGCATGAATTGTTTTCAATTATCCTTTTCTAAATCAATGAATAAAGAATCGTCTAACCTTCGCATGCCATGTGCCTTCACCTGGATAATACTTCCTAGGAAGAAACACTACATGCCCAACCAAATAAGCTGATCAGCGGAAACTCATTACGCTGAATGCGCCCAAGAGTAACAGCTTGGCAGGGAACAAAAGCACAACCAGCAAACGCATGTGCTGTGACGCAACAAGCCTACTGAACCGTTTCAAGGACTCTCTCCCAGTTTGTAAAACACCAGCAAAGTTGAAGTGTTCTTGGCCCACATTGATTGTTGCAATGGACCTACCAAGAATGATACCAGCATTGATGCTACGAGGTAACACCAGAGGCCACCAGAACTTGTGTCGGTGCTCTCTCCTGCTCTTCCTGATGCGATTCAGCTCTTGACGGATCACACCTCGAACAGATTTCAAGTAAGACCTCATGTCATGATCTTTTTGGATTGTTCCTTCAGAACCATATGCAGAACGGTCACTTAAGATCTCAAGTGGATGTGGTGAGTTAAAGAAAATTCTCTGTGCAGCCCAGAGCAGCTTTTGTTCACTATCATCATCTGACAATGGACAGCTTAGCAAATATAGACCAGTTCCTGAAGGAAGGAGATGATGATGTGGAGAGAATTTCTCATCTGGTTGTAAAATCAGAAGTTGCCCCATTGGAGCATACAATTGCTTCTGTAGTAAAACAAAAAAAAAAAAAGAGTTAAAGTCCATGTTCTAGTTAAGTTGCACATTGATTTTTGAAAATGAAGAAACATTACCTGATTATTGAGACAAGGATGGTGGCGAAAGTTTACATTAAGGGCCTTTAAAAGCTCTGCAACATGATTAGGATAATTGCAAGAAAAGGCTCGGGGAACAATGTCTCTGTGCATTGTGATGGCTTGAACATGATTTTGTGGCAACCCCAGTTTACGAAGAAGACGATCGCCCCCACACATGATGCTTGGAGATCCAAACATTATAACAGGAAGTAAGGCAGAAGCTGGCACTTCACCTCTTATCAGCAACATGAGATTTACCAATAGTGACAAGCTGCCACCAAGAGAATGCCCTGTGAAGCGGAAAGTTGCACGCTTGCCATGTGATTTTAAGTGTGAATGGACTTCAGGCAGCATTTGCTCATACATGCCTTTGGCAGCCTCATATATACCTCTATGCACAAGAACATCCAGTCCCTACATCAAGACGATTGTATTGCATTTATCAATAACAGGAAATAAATACATTTATCAATTTCCTCTATGATTTTAACCACATATCCAGAATAGAGAAGAAGCATTTTGATTCTCTTGTCTAAAAAGGTTTATGTGGAAATTGACATATGAGGCAATTTCTACAAGCATCTTATATATTTACGAATCCAAACAAATCACACAAAGATTTGCAAGAAGCAAATCAACACATTAGTCAAGAATTACCTCAAACTGAATAGGCTCAAAAAGTAGATTTGCCTGCCAAGATGCCAATGACTCGGATCCCTACATATACCACATCATAATTTGATTAAAACTAAATGAAAAAAAAAAGAAAAGAAGAAGCCCAAAACCAAGCAACAAAAATGAGTTAGGCCTTGCGACATTGTCAATGGCAATAGCATAACAGCTAATTCAAAATGCAAGGTCAAAGTCCAAAACTGTAAATTGCATAATCACCTCTGAATAGATCTGCAACTCTTATATAAAGAAAGCATGTGTTAATTCCCATGTTATCACATATCCTTAAATAATGTATTAATATAAAAATTGTAATTAAAAGTATGGATTATTTTACCCACCTGAATTACAAAGAATCTTGTAGCACTCTGATCGTCGTCGCATATAAACCACTCACAAGGTGACGAATGTGTTGAGTTCAAATCATCTGCAACAGCCTGCTTTACTTCTTCCTTAGCAGCAACCACAGCAGTCACAGAGTCTGTGGTTGCCATTAAAGAGGCCACATCAGAGTTTATCATATCAGCACTGCTTTCACTTCCACTGCCATCTGTGGATGAACCCTTACTGCTTTCAGGATTTGATGATCTAAATGGAAGTATGGTCCTTGTATGGGAATGCAAATAAGAAGCAGCAGAGGCAGCTATCTGATAAGCAGCAGAGGCACTGATCTTGTAGCCAATATTTTTCTGCTCATGGCTGTCTGCATCATCCTTTTTATTCCTTTGTGCCTCTTGATTTTCAGAGGACACACCAATTTGTTCATGATTTTTCTCAGCTTTCATTGCCAATTCTCTCTTCTCTATTGATGAAGTTACCAAACGTAAACCACGATACTTTAGGAGACTTTCAGGCTGAATTTTATCCCAAATGGAAGATGTAGGAAAAAAAACCATGTTATTCTTCATGCGAAAAATAGAACTGCTGATGTATTAAACTCAACTTTCAAAAGATATATATAAATTAGAAGTAATGTGAAACAATGTAAAATTTATAAAGAAAATTGCTATTCGAGGATGGAATAACAGTTTCATCCATAAAGAAATATCAAGCACACACCCAACAAAGATAGAAAAGCACTATCTTAAAAGTACAAATAAATTACAAAACTATAGATTTCAGCTGTTCCTTGATTCACCAAAAACTCCAAAGTTTCACAAACTCAAGATGCAACCATTGAGGCAAGCCTCCCTAAAAATGAGCCGTTTCAATTTCAACAATAACCAAATTGAAACCTTTATGAACAAGGTTCCAATTTGCAAACCTTTGATTTCTTGAACTTTTCATGTAACTATCACAAGCCAATTGGCTGGCAAAGTATACAGGAAGGCTTCAGCTAGATCTAAATTATCAAAAGCGGAAAATTTCACAGCATCCCAATTAGAACTTTTCAAAATGATCTTAAAGATTTAAGATTAAAATTTTCCGTTTAGCGCTTTTTATTACAAACAGAATAACTTAATCTCAGGTATTAGAAACCCAGATCTCTAACTCTGTCCATTTACAAAAACAATAAAACAAAAACATCTCCAATATTTTAAAAAGAAATAATATAAAAAGGAATGAAAACGAACAAAAATTAATTTCTGGGTGTGTTACCTTAATCTTTGGAATCGCATAAGCCAAGCTTCCAAGGTATGACATTTTAGCGTACAACTTAGCCTCAGCTAAAGACACCCTTTTTAGCAACTTGGAAAACGAATCTTTATCAATTTCAATCTCCTTTTTTTCATTTTCGTCATCATCATCAACTCTACAAAATTCACAGATTTCTTCCTCCTCATTTACGACGCCGTTACCGTTGTTTTCTTCTTCGGTTTCTCCTCCTTCATTGACGCCCTTTCTTTCTACTTCCTCTTCTCTCCACAACGACTTCACGTGCAGAATCTTCAAAACCCAATTCCCATTTCCCCCTTCCATCGTTGCCCCAGCATTCACGTTCTCCTCCTCTACTTTTTTCGCCAACCCATTATTATTCTGCACCAAAACGCTGTCGTCCACAGCCAACCCGTTGTACCTCTTGTTATTTCCACCTCCGGGCCACAAAGATTTCAAGGGGTAACGAAACGAGAACCTGGAAAACGCTGTCTTCTGCGGAGGCACCACCGCCGCCGTCGCCGTCGACGATGTCGATATGTTATCCACCGAAGACCGCCCCACCACACTGACTTGCGTTGCGTTGGTCCTACTTTCCAGTGGCCCACTCACAGAGATCGCCGGTGCCATCCCATGAATCCCGGTTTTCAAACAAAGCCCATCCATTCTCGTTTCTGGGCTTCTTATAAATTCTATTTAAAACGTAAATTTTTTTATACTTGCAAACAATAATGCGTCGAACAGCGTAACATCAGGCAGCAAATCGCAGGAAGCAAGGAGCTGGACCTGTTAACGTAACCAAACAATCTTTGAATTCCTACAATAGTTTTTGTCTGACTTATTGTTTCTCCTATCTGCTTTATCGTTTATAAAATCTTTGATCAAAATTCTCCTTTACATAAAAATGGAAAAGAGAGAGAGAATTTAAAGAGGCGGCAGAAAGGTTAGAAAAGTCGTTTGTATCCAAACAGCTACAGCCTACAGGTCACCAACCTAGTTAAATGATTTTCTTCTCTTTTTTTTTTTTCCTGGAAATTTCTAGTTATAATTAAGGAGCAGTTGGAACGACGGCGTTTTAATGGGGTTTCAATACGGCACATGGGGGGATGATCTCTTAGGTGGGGGCCCGCCTGCCTGACTGGGTGTCAAAACTTTGTGGGGAGAATATCTGTTTGCCACGTCAGAAAATTTTCTGATGAACTAGAAACTTGGAAACCCAACTCAAATGACGTGTCCTTGAAGTTCTCTCTCTCTCTCTCTCTCTCTCTCAGACTATCAAACATTTTACGTTTGGCTATACACGCCTCATGCACGCTGCCAGCATTCGGCACCTGTCCCTCTGTTTTTTTTCACTATCTATTTATTCAACTTCTAAAAACCAAACTGAAGAAATATTTGTCTTGGTTGGAAAATATTTTTTAAAAAAAGACATTTTAGAAATATTCTAAAGTAAGAACGAAATTTGTAAATCTCTTCAATACCAAGTATTTAAGTAACATCATAATTTAATATCTAAAGTAATGCAAACCTAACAATAAAAATTAGGTAGTAGATAAAGTTTTTATAATGTGGTATTTGTAATGCTTGGAAGGGGGTGGATAAACCGGTTATCTAATAATTCCTTCCTTCTCAGAAAAAGGATGAACTACAGAGCAATGTCTGTTTCTATTTCAATACACGTAGTTGAAAGCTGAAAGGCAACGGTAGGGAATAGGGTTCGGCGTAGGGGTAGGGACTTGGAAACCTTGGCGGTGACGAAAGCCAATATTAATTAATTAAATGATAGTTATTGGGCAGTTTTAAATCTATATGATGGTAGCGTAGCGTAGGAATGGCCTTTTTTTAAGTCGGGCTATTAAATAATAATAAAAGGCAAAACTTATATCCCACAAAAGGATCCTAAACAATAGTATAATTTTAGATTTAATAGTATAAGATTGTTTTGGTCATAAAATAAACTCGATCATACCCTTGGTAACCCCTAAAGTTTGGAGTCTCTCCTCTTGACTCGGAAAAAGAAAGGCATAATTAGAAGACAGCCGCCCAGCAAACGAAAGAAGGTTGAAAAGATGATGGCCGAATAGCGGAGACCCAGACCAAACGACCAAGTGGGGCAGCCGACAAATCGAAGAGAGACTGCCACTATCCCGGCCCAATTTAAGGAATTCTTTAATTTTCTTTTTTATAATACAATGATATTATTATATCAAAAGTTAACTCTGTTCTCTGATTTTGGCCAAGTTGACTCTACAATCTCAAAGAACAAAATTTGCAATTGAGGTTATAGGAACAATATTCACTTCAATCTGTAGTTTAGATGTCGATGCAGATTTTGATAGAAAAATAATTAACTGCAGTACCAGCTAAATCCTCGTTGATAACTATTTTGTGGGACAAACAAGAAACGAGACAGATAATATTGTCTCGTATGAACCCAAAAAAAGAATATTATGCTAAACAAGCCTCTCCAAATTGCTGGACACTTGAACGTATTAGAGAGCAAAGACATTTTTCAGACACTGCATGCTAATTTCTTAATGACGGAGGAAAAAGGTAAAAGAAAAAGGAGAGAAGAAAAATTAGAAACCCTCCAGATTTCCTAGTTTCTACGTTATCCTCATCATGCTACAATGGGAACATCTTAGGACCCAACAAAAAAAATTGTATCCTCTATTCCTAGCCAAGAACTGCCTTGATTTTGGCCTTCTGGTCCTCCGTCAGCGATGTGGGGAACAAAACCTCATAAGTGACATAGAGGTCTCCTTTCTTGTCGCTGAAATGCAATGGCATTCCTTCTCCTTTGAACTTTCTCACCTCTTTCGGCTTAGTAATACCCTGAGTATGCAATACATATTTATTTCCCTAAATGTATATTGGTCTTCATTTCCAATTTTGGATCATTTTAGTTGTTGATCCAGAGAAATTAGACTAGAAGCTCCATAGAATATCATGCTTACCTTAGAGCCAATGTCCACTAAATGCTCATCAAGATGTTTAATGGTCTTCTCAAAACCAACAAGAGCTTGAACCTGGAGCAAGTAAATAAAATGAAAATTAGTTCATACTTTCCATTTCAAAGGAATGTAAAGGGCAAAGGTCGAGACATATAAAGATATCCTACAAAATGAGACTTACAAGTGTTATGGTGACACTGGTGTGCAAGTCATTGCCATCCCTCCTGAATCGGTCATGGGGTGCTGTGCGAATCCGGAACTGAAGAAAATGTAATAGTCTTATGTGAGCAAGAATGGGCAAATTCCAATATCCTAACTAAAGGCTGCATAGGATTGAAGACTGGACATGAATCTATTGGCCTCGCCCATGCCCAGCATGTTGCACAATAACTGGACTATACAGAAGGGAAAATTTTCAAATCACTGTTAAGAGATTAACCTTCAAATCTCCGGGTTCTCCATCTACTATAGGCTCGCCATCTTCATAAAAAACCACTTCCTGTAAAATGCAAAAGGAACATTAATCCACATCAAACAACAATAATGACTATCTTACTATTCTACTCCATGTATACTATAAAAAAACAACTACAAGATGATGAAAATTACATGCCATAGAAGTTGTAGGATAAGAAATTCTGACAAAATTGTCAAACAAACAAATATGCATAAAAACAATGTGTTCCACTTATATATGACATCAAAGGATCCTAGAGAGATTTACTATAGTACATTTCTCTGTCTGCTTTATTTTTTAAAGTAATGTTGACCAATAAAGCATGCCAAAAACAACTCAGCACGCCCTAATACATGTGAACTATTCTTTCCAATTGCTTATCATTGTCACTTTGAAGAGATCATGAAAGCAACCAGATCAGCAGGTGCACAGACAGTGGAAAAGAGCATCCTAAAAATTATTCAGATTTAAAAGATTAAAAAAATAATAATAATAATAGAATGATGGAACTACAAACAACTCTTTCTGCACCAAGGAATTCAACAAACAAACTTTTCATATCACAGAACAGTTTATCCTCCTTCACTTTCCTTAGATTTTAAGAATGACTATATATTTGAACATTATTTAAGAAAAGCTGAGCAACAATATCAAATGCACATCAAGAAAAGCTACAATCATGAAGAAGTATTACAAATTTAAAAAAGTTCAAATTCTACAAACTTACTTGTCCATCTTGCATTCCTTTCTCAATATCAACTGTGACAATATACCCCTCCCGTTCATATTTGACATTTTGGCACTGCTCACAAACCTGAGAAAAGCAAATTGGAGAATAATGATAAAAGCTGGATCATAGTAACGTATGAAATGACAATTCTGACAGTATAAAAAGGCCCAGGAAACAAGATAAAGAATAAAAGAACATTATGAAATTTAAATAACAAAGAAAAAGAAAACAACAAAGCCACAGTACCTGTTCAGTCATCTGTTGGAACATCCCCGGACCAATTTGCTTATGATAGACCTCATTTCTGCAGTTACAGCGTCGTTTACCAGGAGCAGGCTTTAAGATGTTTTTCTCCCTCCAAACCTGGTGACTTCCATATCAATGTTACTTTTCTATAAACTAAGCATATTTGGAAAGATCGGGGAGTAGGAAGGGGGAACAGAGAAGCAAGCACTAGCTACTAGCTCCCTCTATTTTCCCCACAGGCTCAAATTAAGTACAAGATGGACAAGGATACACCCTGTGTCCATCATCATCATTTCACGATAATCTATGCATAATTTATTGATCCACTAGCTTCCTGAGAAACTATAGAACACTCAAATAAAATGCAAAATTGCTCAGTCATTAGTTTCCAATGACACCTAACAGCTCTGTCTTTTACACTCATGAGAGCTGCTTTAACAAGGCTGAGTAGTAGACAAGGATAACTGGCTAATGATCTAGCTTGTAGCTGATAGACAATTAAGTTCAAGTAAGAGAATCTAGCTTTGTCATTTGCAAAGGGTACATAAAACACACAAGTTAGGTGAACTACCTATGTGTAAAATTTTAGTTATTATTACATGGATATGATGTTTAGACTATTAACATCCTGAGAAAGCATGTGTACTCATATACATGATTTTTCTTACAAACCCACTTCCCAAATCCCAAGTTTAGAATGTTTTATAATATGCATACGTTCACACTGCAGCACATAGACTAGCCAACTTATGTAAGACATTAAATAAGGTAAAAGCCATAATGCAAAAAAATCTTGGATTCAACACCAGTCAAGATGGCCAAAAGATTGATCAGTTACAGATTTGGGTTAAGGATAAAAAAATCCCATCATAAGACATAATTTCTCACCTTAAGAGTACCTCCCATGTACAAATCTTCCAGTGTTGCATCCAGTTCAACAATTACATCATCACCCTTCACAATTCTCTCTTCCTCTTCTGCCTGGCCTCCACCAAAAAACCTGAAGAAAAGCTACCTCTTGTCAGCAATAGTAGGTGGTTGAATTCAGCATAACATAACTAAAAGTGAACAATTCTTAAAAAATGATGGCTAGCCACATTTAAACTAAGAGAATGCAGGATTAAGGAGACAGTTCTTAGAGGTTAAAATGATTATTAGTGTATGCTATCCCAAATATAAGTCAATAACTAACATTTTATTGATGATTTCATACATAATCACCAATAAAGTAAAGGTTCTAATTTCAACTATAGGGGAAACTTGAAGGTGGGCAGCACTGGCATAACTAAGATAAACCTAAGATGCATTAATAGACTCCTAAATTGTGGGTACAATGCCAGCACATAACTTACCATAGCATTTCAATTACTACCATATTACTATCAAGATAATTAAACGTGACGCAATATTAATAAAAAACTAAATTTTCAACAATCTTACGTGCTAAAGATGTCCTGAATATTAACCCCCATTCCTCCTCTGCCTCCACTGGCAGCATGCTGCTTCAGGCCCTCCTCTCCATACCTATCATATATTCCCCTCTTTTCGCTATCCGACAACACCTCATATGCTAATCATTCATCAAACAGATTAATCATCCAAAAAGAAAAAAACCAATTAATTCCATCACACAAATATTCTTCATAAAAGAAAAAATTAAATAAAGAAGGAGATATTTTCACCATTGTTAATCTCAGCAAATCGCTTATTGGCCTCTTCATTACCGGGGTTCTTATCAGGATGATACTTCAATGCCAGTTTCCTATACGCTCTTTTGATCTGCTCATCCGATGCCCCTTTCGGCACTTGCAATACCTCGTAATAACTCTTCCTGCATCAATACAATATCGCCACAAAATTTCACGCATACATAAACGCCATTTGTTAAAAAAGAGAGAGAGACACACACACACAGAGAAATAGGCGCGTACCCTGCAATGGCGACGATCGCGTAACACAAAGCGCATAACAGAAAAAGTAGCTTCGTTCTTGGAAGCGCCATGGATTTGAGATCAGGAGAGAAAATGGATCTCTCCAGAACTTTATGACAGCTTAGAAATTCTTCTCGGATCTTCGATTACAAAATAAAAAATAAAATATATATATATATAGAAATATTTTTCCAGAGATATTAGAGGAGAGGTTCTTAAGGTATGGCTCTGCTTTTTTATTTTCTTGAATGGATCCTTTTTTCAGTTTGAGAGCTTCCAAAGTGGGCTTAAGGAGTTTTACACGAAGAACCGAAACATGAGGCATCAACGACTTTGACTATGGGACTCAACTTTTGCAACGTGTTATTGTGAAAACTGGCCAATGAGCGTAAACTTGATGTTGTTTCTTCCAATAGGGTTTCGCCACGTTGAAAGATCTCGTCCTCTCCGGGTCGCAGTTCTGATTTCCTGGAAAATGTAAAATCGATTTTCAAACCAATTTACAAGTCATAACCTTAGGGCCCGTGCAGTTGTTCAAACGACGTCGGCTGCTTTTATTTTTGGGCTTTAAAAACAACTCATCCAAATAATACTATGGGCTTTTGAAACTTCTCTTATCAATGGGCTTAGAGTAACTATCGGTCCAAAATATGTTGCATCGTCCATTAATACCCCAATTAGTTATTAGTCCGATTCATTAACCAATTTGGACTTTAAAGTCAACGCCCAACATGCTTTTGAGGCTTGTGGATTTTGGATCGAATCTGATACCAAAACCGAAAGGAAAAAAAAAAAAAGAAAAAGTTTAGCTCTTAGATTGGAATTTCAATTTTTTTTAACCATATAATAGTGATTATACTAAAATAATATCAAATAAATATCCTTAAAACCAAAAAAAAAAAACTGATTTTATTAACCATTGTAAGCTTCAAAAGAAAATGATGAGGGTAATATGCCTATATTTGATCCATGTTCCCATCCAATCTATATTTTGTATACTCGACAAAAAAACTTTTGGATGATGTGGGAACCACTAGCAGTTCCACATGTAATAATTAAAAAATAAAATGAAAATTTTTGTTTGGATACCCTCGAAAATTTTTACTGGGACACCGGTCAATTGATAAAATTAATAAATCTATTGTAAATTGACCACTCAAAAAAATATTTGACTTTGTCACTTATGAGAACATGGTTTTATAACTATAGTATACATATACTGAAGTTATTACATTGTGCATGTTTATGCCATGATTTTTTTAGTAGTTTAGAATGTTATGTGAGATTTTATATTGGACATTAAGGTTACGTTTGGTATATAAGATTAATTTAAAAATAAGATATTAATAATTTCATCACATATTTATTATGCACTTAAATAAAATAATTAAATTATTAAAATGATTTGATATCCTATACCAATAAAATAATTTTATCTTTTGTAAAAGTAAAAGATTATTTTTAATTTATAATAATAAATTTAAATGTTTTATTTTACTCTTAATAATTATATCAATAATTTAAATTGTATAAACTTAAAATGAGGATAATTTTGATTAATAAATAAATTATTTTATCTTAATCTTTGCACACATCAAACTTAAGATAGAATGATATTATTTAATATAATTATATTCATAATATCATCTTATTATATCTTATCTTTAGGTATTATTTGGTACACAAAATTATGATATAATATAATAAGATAATATTATGAATATGATTAGATTAAATAACGTCATCCTATATTATGTTTAATGTGTACAATGATTAAGATATAATATTTTTTTATTGATTAAAATTATATTTATTCAAAGTTTATATAATTTAAATTATTAATATAATTTTTAAGGGTATAGTATGACATATAAGTTTAATCTCATAAATTAAAAATAATTCTTTTCACTTTTGAATGATTGAATCATCTTACAATAAAAAGATTATAATATTTCTTATAATTATATCCCTTTTAATCATATACAAACTAAATATAATATAGAATTATTATTATTTTATTTTATTTATTATCCTATACATCAAACATAACTTAAATAAAAAATGCTTAATTTTTATATTAATTTTATTTATATTATGAATAATTATATTTAAACAAAAAAATTTATTTATAATAAATTTGTAACAAAAGAATTATAATTATTTAAACAAAATGAAAAGATTATTCATTAAAATGACATGATACTATTTTTATGCATATCTATTTTTACTACTTTTATTTAGAGAGCTTTAAAATGTTATTGTATTATAGAGATATAATTATTTTTAAAAAGTATTTCACACCTTAAAATTAAGATTGGATTCAATTATTTCTACTTTTTATTATTTTTAATAACTTTTACCTACATGGAATGATAGAAACGCAACATTTGGAGGTAATTTTAAAGGTCCAAACTATTACCGTTTGTTGAAATCAATTTCGAGAATCAAGGAAAGTAAAAATATGAGATTTGATCAAGATAGAAATAACTACGAAAATGATCAGAAGTTCTTAAAATATTTTCAACTATTGTAATTTTATCCTTAAAGTCAACAACCATCAAAGAATTCATTCTCCTAAAGCCACACCTTCAAATTTTTGTTAGTTTGAAATTCAGAACTGACATACCAACCAATCTAGTGTGATAAAAAATAACTTCACCAATGTCATTCTTATCATGTCAATTGTAGATATGATAAATCAAAATTTGATATACCATTAAGAACTATATATTATGTTAGTATGCATAGATTTTATTTTTTTTCCACCGGTCATTAAGGTAATAATAATATTATAAAAGTGTCAAATGTGTCATGCCAAGTCAACACAACTTATTTAAATATTAATTTATATATTAATAGATCTTGTTAGCTCAGCACTCTTTTTTAATGTGTTGTGTTGGCAAGGTCCATGAAAATTAAAGGCATAGTCTAGCACGATACATGGTTCATAATTTTCCTTGGTCAACACGTGCCAAGCACAATATTATTTTTCGTGCTGAGTTAGGCCAAGCACGGCTTATTATATTTTTTCAAAATTTTAATTATTAAAAAATTGTATATTATTATTAAAAATAATACGTAAGAGATAATAAACACATAATAAAATAAAAAGACACATAATTTACGTGGTTCATGCAAAATTTACACCCACAAAAATGGATAATATAATATACTAAATAAAAATATTGAATTTACAATCCTGATATTTAAAAAAAAAAACACCCATATCATCTATTCAATGTCTAGCAATACACATATAACTAAAGTTTTATCGATTAGCCAATATATCATGAGCAAACAAAATTTTAGAAGAAATATTTGACAAACTAGGTATTAAATTGTCTTTATAAGAAAAAAATATTTTAAAGTTATATGATTGAATAATATTTCTTGAAACTGTTTGCTCAAATCGCACTATAAATTTAGCTAATTTATTATGTAAATTATCTTATGAAAATTGAAATTCACCTAAAAATCCATTAGGATATTAATTAAGTGTAGTTTTGTGTGAGATTGAATGATGCAACTTCATGTTTTTCGTTATTTTTTTAAGTGATTGTCCTTCCTTTTGTTTTAGAACTATTATATATACATATATATATATATATATGTTATAAGCATGAAAATTTTGATAGTACAACTTTTAAAATAATATTAATTTATTTTTTTTTTACATAAAATTAAATAAGGAAAAGTAATTCATGCATCAAATAAGTTGCAAACCGGTTAGGTATAATTTATTTATTAATAATTTAATATTCAATATAATTTTATTTTACAACTTATCAAAAGATGAATAAAATTCCATTAGAATATAAAAATTACATGAATACATCAACGACCAAAAACTCATTTATAACAATCATAGGCCAACAAGTAATGGCACATTTGAGTTTGTGCCTTACACCATGTTAACTCATGTACCATATACTATCACTGACCCTTAATAAATTATTTTGTACCAACCCACGGGTTAAAAACTTATGACCCAGCACAGCATATATGTGTCTCATATTTGACCTAATTCGATTATTTAATAATGAATCATATAAAACATGATTTATATTATATCAAATTATATCGTATCATAAGCTTTCAAACACATTTGATATCTCTAAATAATAAAAATGCATTTTAATAATTTCTCATAGAATATAAACCCCAAAACCAATGCTTTAACAAAAGGTAGTATATATCCCAAAATCAATAACCAACTTCGAACTAAATTATTATTATTATTTTTTTTAAGAATTGAACACCAGAAATTAGTCAGCCTCGTCCATTGAAAAGGCAACATCTTTTGCAATGAGGAATGCCAATAGTTACGACACGTGATTCAAACAAAAGTTTGTCTGGAATGTACCTGATACTATGCTTCACCTATAAATAACTATAATGAAAATCAAACTTCACTATTCTCTCTTCCCCTGATTCTATGGTACATATTTGTTCAACTTAATTTCATTAATATGATTTTGGGCTTGGGTTGGTGAGAAATCCATCATTTAAAGTCTTTTTTCTAACTAAAAAATTAATAATAAGTAAAAGAAAAAAACCTCTAAATAGGGTGAAAAAAAAAAAGAAGAGAAATTAGAGCTATTGATAGTAGTGTTAGATGGGTTGGATAACTCATGACATTATATGATTATGGATTGAGTTTTGCACAATTCATTTTTAAATGGTTGGGCTAGATCAAATATGATACATATATATATATATATATGTTATATTGGACTAAAAGTTTTTAAATCAATGGGTTGGCACAATAAGATCTGTTAAAAGCTAGTGTTAATATATAGCACGTAGATTAGCATAACACAATATACAAGCTCGAATATACTGTGGCATGTTAGCTCATAACTGTTATAAATGAGCTTTTAAATTTTTAATGTATTTATGTTATTTTTTATATTTTAATGAAATTATATTTATTTTTTAGTAATTTATAAAATAAAATTATGTTAAATATTTAAATTATTAATAGATAATTTAATATTTAATTAGTTTGCAAATTGTTCGATACACAGATTATTTTTATTTATTTAAATTTGTCTGTATAAAAACAAATTAACCTTTCTTTTTCAAAGTTATATAATCAAAATTTTCAAACTTATAAAATATATATGAAAAAATTTAGTTATAAACAAAATTAGGGACTAATCATCTAAAAATGCAAAAGGAAAAGCATGAGAATGCATCTACCGCTTTTAATGATCCCACACAAACTATCACAAACTATACTTAATTAGCATCCTAATGAGTCTTTAGGTTCGTTTCTTTTTTTTACAAGATAATTGGTGTAATCAATTAGCTAAATATATAATGTGATTTGAGTAAACAATTTTAAGAAATATTACTAGATCATATACTTTTGAAAAAAATTTCTCATTAGGAAAATTTAATATCTAGTTTATTAAAAATTTTCTCTAGAATTTCACTTACTTCTAATATATGGACTAATCAACAAAACTTTAG